CCACGGGACACCACGGGACAACACGGGACGCTGCGGGACACCTCTCGATCTCACTACCGGTCTCATTGCCGATCTCACTATCGATCTCACTCAACGGGACACCACGGGAAACCACGGGACACCTGTCGATCGCACTATCGATCTCGGTATCGATCCCACTACCGATCTTACCACTGATCACACTCAACGGGACACCACGGGACACCATGGGACACTTGTCGATCTCACTATCGATTTCACCATCGATCTCACTCTTTGGGGCACGGGACACCACGGGACACCACATCGATATCACTACCGATCTCACTATCGATCTCATTATCGATCTCATTCAACGGGACATCATGCGACACCTGTCGATATCCCTATCGATCTCACTATCGATCCCACTTTTTGGGACACCACGGCACACCACGGGACACTTCCGTGCACCAACCACATCGATCTCATTATCGATCTCATTATCGATCTCACTCAACGGGACACCATGGGACACCACGGGACACCTGTCGATCGCACTATCGATCTCACTATCGATCGCATTTTTTGAGACACCACGGGACACTCCGGGGCACCACATCGATCTCGGTACCGATCTCACTATCGATTTCACTATCGACCTCACTATCGATCTCTCTCAACGGGACACCACGGGACACTACGGGAGACCGCGGGACACCGCGAGCCACCGCGAGCCACCGCTGGACGGACGGACGGGCGGGGGATGATCATTTGTCTTGTCTTCGCCCTAGCAACGGCGGACACCACGGGACACCACCGGACACCGCGGGACACCGCGAACCATCGCGAACCACCGCCGGACGGGCGGGTGGGGGATAATCACTTGTCTTGATTTCGCCCCAGCAACGGCGGACACCACGGGACACCGCGGGACACTGCGAGCCGTCGCCGGACGGGCGGGCGGGGGATAATCATTTGTCTTGACTTCGCCTTAGCAGCGGCAGGTTTATTCCTCTCGCGAGCCGACGCAGCTTCGCCTCTCCCGCACGCACGACACGAGCGAAACGAAACGATTTCCCGGTTGGGGGTCTCCATTCCATTGCGATCTCCCCCCCCAACCTCCGATCCACATCTATATACATACATATATAGAGAGAGAGAGATGGTCCAAGCTATGTGGTGCAAGCTATGCGGTGGAAGCTATGTGATGCAATCTTCGTGATGCAAGCTGGGTGGTGTAAGTTATTTGGTGCGGGCTACGCAATGCAATCCATGGTGTGCGAGCCTGTGGTGCACGGTGCAAAGTACGTGATGCAATATATGCGGTAGGAGCTAATGTAGTCATGCGGTGTGAGCTCGGTGGTGTAAACTACGTGGTATCATCCATCTAATGCGATACAGTGGGTTTGAAACGAATTGAGCTATGTTGTGAAATCGATGTGGTGCAATTCATGTTGTGCGGTCTGTGTGGTGTAAGCTATACGGTGCAATTTTAGTGGTGCAAGTTTTGTAGTATGACCTTGGTGGTGCGAGCTCTAGGGGTGCAAAATATGCAGTGCAATCCATATGGTGTGAGCTCTATGGTGTAGGCGATGTGGTGCTCTGCTATGCAACGGAATTCAAAGCAGTGAGGAGCAGTGCAAAGCAGTGCCGACCAGTGCCAATCAATGCAAATGCAACGCACATCAATGCAACGCAAAGCAATCCAGCAAGGCAAAGCAACGCAAAGCAATGCAAAACAATGCAAAGCAATGCAAAGCAATGCAAAGCAACGCAACGCAAACCAGCGCAATGAACAGCGCAACCCAATGTACAGCAAGGCAATGCAATGCAACGCGACGCAAACCTGTGTAACGCAGTGCAGCTCAACGCACTGAAAGCAAAACGATGCAAAGTTACGCGATGCGATGCGAAATATCGCAGACCCAGACGGCGACGGGGCGGCGACGGCGACCACATGGCCGCCACACCAACGGGCAGGCGCAGAAGACGGGCGGCGACGGGGTGGCGACGGCGACCACGTAGCCGCCACACCGACGGGCAGCCCTGTTCCTAACAGCAGAAGATAAGAACCCCTCGGCGCAAGCACGGTTTCGGGAGTAATGTCGGAGTGTTGGGCCCCCGGACCTGCCCCCGCCCAAAATGGCAAATCCCCTTTCCCCTCTCCAACCCCCTGGGAACCCTTGGCCCAGGAGGCCTCGTGCCCCGCCTCTGGGGGGGAAATCAAGGGAGGGAAAACCACACGAACGGGACAATTGGCGCTTTTTCAATGGCCTTGGACGTTTCTTAAACAGTCCTGCCCTGTTCGATTCCTTCTTTGGGTGCGTTTACTAAACGGTTTCGCGTGTCGGGATGGTTATTATCGGGGTGGATTTTCTGCGCTCTATGAGGGGGGGGGGGGAGGATGATGGGAGGAGGCACGAAGAGGGAGGAGGAGGGAGGAGGGAAGAGGGATCCGGAGGAGGAGGAGCTGGAGGAGAATTGGAGGAGGACGAAGGAGGGCTTGGAGCAGAGTTCGTTTGTGGATTCAAGGGGGTTCTCGGAGAGGCTCGACGGTTTCACATCAGGTTCAAAATCAATACACGTAAATCTTTCCAAAGGGTTTCGAATGACGTCAGGGGTAGTCTTCTAGTTCACGGGCGCTGTTTATGGATGCGCTGGTTGAGTGACCCCGAGGAGCAGGATGAGCAGCAGCAGCATCAGCAGCAGGTGGAGGGATGGAGTACAAGGAGAAGGAGGAGGAGGAGGATGAGGAAGAGGAGAATGAACAGGAATATTATCACATTGAGCAGGAGGAGGGGGGGGGAAGACGAGGAGGAAGGGGAGGATGAGGATGAGAGGGAGGCGGATGCGGAGTAGTAATTCGGTTGAGGGGAAGAGGGGGAACAAGATCAGTATCAGAAGTACGAGTGGGGATGGGAACGAGGCGAAGAGTACGTGGACGAGGAAGCGAGCAAAGATGCGGATGGGGAAGGGAGGGGATCGTAGAGTGGGAGTTGGAACAGGAGGAGGGGAAGCCAAGGAGGCGGCGGATGAGGTGGCAGTCGTCGAGCAAAAACTCCAGCTGTGAGCCGCGAACAACCAGAGCACATCGCTGGTTTCAGGACGTGCCGTGCCGTGCCGTTCTTGCATGCCGTGCTGTGCCGTGCTGTTTCGTGCCGTGCCCGCATGCTCGACTGCGAAAATATTCAAGGGAGGAAACCCCACCTGGACCGGACACGTGGCGTTTACTAAATGGCCTTGGGCGTTTACTAAACAGCCCACCCTGTTCGATTCTTTCCTTGGGTGCGTTTACTAACGGCTTCGCGTGTCGGGGTGGTTATTATGGGGGTGGATTTTTTACCTCTAAATGTGCCGTGCCCACAACATCCCCGACCGCGAAGAAGTGTGCCGCGGCGTGCCCCGCCGTGCCTGCTCGTGGATCCGAGACCAGTTCGGAGGTTGACAGACCTCCTACCCTGACGCGTCGATCAGCGAATCGGCCGATTTCGGTTCGCGGGCGGGCGTCGCGGCCGTCATTTTTGAAGCTCCAGGTCTGTCGGTTTCGGTCCTGGGCCGTTTTCACTAAAGGGTGGTTTACGAAAGGGAGGCCTGTCCGCCGCGGAGCAGTGCCGTGCCGTGCCAGACCGGGCCGTGCCGTGCCGTGCCTGTGCTCTGGCATGCGACAGGCGTGCCGTGCCGTGCCGTGCCGACCAGGTGCCCATCGTGCACTACGTTGCATCTTCGGGGGACCTCGCCTGTCCCCCAAATTGGTGTCTTCTCTTGTGCCTGACGCAGGCTCGATGCGGGCTCGACGCGGATTTGGCGTGGATTCGTCGCGGATTCGACACGGATTCGACACGCATTCGACACGGACCCGACGAGTCCGACATGGATTCGACACGGATTCGAAGCGGCCGCGACGGGACAGACAAGGCCCCCCGAGGTTGCAACTGAACGTGCGTAGGTCAAATTCTCACCGGAATCTTGAAGTTAGAATTCCGGGCGTGTTGTCGCGGTTAGGCTTTGTACACCCAGTCAGGCCTGTCAGATTTCACTGTCCTTCTTGAGGTTTGCTTCACATTCCCTGTTGGATCATCGTGTGCGCTCCCATCTTCTCCCTCGAAAAATATGGGTGTCTCGTCGTGCAGCGTTGGTGTTTGGTGTCTCTCATTCTGCCGGTGACTTTGATGCATCGGAGTCACACTGCGTCTGGTTCCACCGACCCCGAAGGGCGATGAGGAGGCCCTGGGAAGGCCGCGAGGGAACCAAGGAGCGCGCGAAGGCAGAACCCTACGATTACCCCAGATCGGCTTGAAGAGCCTCTCGACATTGGAGGAGAGACGGAGCTTCGTGGCCTTCTTTTTTCTACAGGCCCAGGTCCCGCAAGCGGTCTCTTGGATCCGAAGTTTCGAAGCAACATTTTCCATATCTTGCTCGGACAATGAATGCCTGGGTCTGGATCCCCTTTTCGTCCCCAGACATGGATCCTTTCGACTTGTTCGAGTCCCCTGCCCCTGGGCCTCTTGACCTCTTCTGCCTCTGCCCAGAGAGCCCCCATGCGCCGCCAACAGTGAACACCTCCTGCGCGACTTTCTCGAGTCGCGGGAGATTTAAGTCGGGCATGTCCCTATACAGGAGGGAAGTTCAAGAATGGTCAAACAACATTTTTTTTGGTCTGCGGGGCGAGAGCGAACCACTTCCGCCAAAAGCTAGGCGGGCTACGCACAGCTTTGATTAGGGAGACATGGCACAGGAAGGCGGGGCCTCAGGCGGCCGGAGCGGGCGGAGCCCGGGGTGCAGGCGGTGCCGAAGAGCTTGCACGGGAAAAGGTACGCCGCGGACAGGGACCGGGGGCGAAGACCCGGAAGGCGAAGGAGATGGTGTTGCCGTCAACGGCACGTCGCAAACACAATGGTCAAACAACAAATCTGGGGACGATTGTTCGTGCTCTTTTGGCAGCTCGGGATTTTTTGGGACTATCTGTTACTTGTCTTCCAAAGCCCGCTTGTAGGAGGACGTGCCCGACTGTAACCCGAGATCCGGGCCCGCCCGTGGAGGTGCTACGGAACGTGGGCGAGGTGCAGTACATCGGCGCCCTGCTGATCGGCAGCCCGGGGCAGCAGGTAGAGGCTCCGTGGCCGAGGAGGAGGAGGAGGAGGAGGAGCAGGGGGAGCAGGAGGATGAGGATGATGAGGAGGAGGAGGAGGAGGAGGAGGAGGAGAAGGAGCAGGAGGAGGAGGAGGAGAAGGAGCAAGAGGAGGAGGAGCAGGGGCAGCAGTCAGAGGCTCCGTGGCCGCGGGTCGTGGTCGTCGTTCTCGCCGTCGCCGTCGTCGTCGTCGTCGTTGCTGCCGTCGTTGCCGTCGCCGTCGCAGTCGTCGCAGTCGTCGCAGGCGCCGTCGTCGCAGTCGCCGCCGCCGCCGTCGCCGTCGTCGTCGAGGCTTGCCAGGCTTGGAGCGAGCTGTCCGCAGTGTGTCGGCCCTTTTTGTTTGGCTTCCCGACGCATTCGGGGACTTCCAGAGGCCTTTGGGGCGATTGTCGTCGCGATCCTGGCCGTCCTCTCGCTCTCGTCGTCGTCGTCGTCGTCGTCGTCGCCAGCCTCCTCCTTTCCCTCATTTTCCTCCTCCTTTTTCGTCGCCTCCTGCTCATCCCTCTCCCCCTTCTCCTTCCCGCTTTTACTTCCCCTCTCCTCTCCTCCCTCTGAGGGTCAGGAGGTAAATCCATTCGGATATCTGGGTCGGTCTCGAGTGCTCTGAGTCCTCTCGTCTAGAAAGCTTCTCAGATAGAGCGTTAGCCAGCGTGGACATCTAACAGTGTGCTTCTTTCATTCTATGTTGTGCAATATATGTTGTGCAATCTAGGTTGTGCAATCTATGTTGTGCAATCTATGTTGTGCAATTTTTGTGGCGCAGCATGTGTTGCGCACTCAACGTGGTGCAAACTATGCTTCTGAAGCTATGCGATCCAATCGATATTGTGCAATATATGTGGTGCAGTCGAAGTGGTGCAAAACTTGTGGCCCAATAAATGTTTTGCAACATATGTTGTGCACTCGATGTGGTGCTTTATATGTTGTGCAATCACTATGGTGCATCACATGCGGTTCAATCTAGGTTGTGCAAACTATGTGGCGCAGTCTAAGTCTTGCAATTCTTGTGGCGCAGTCTATGTTGTGCACTATGTGGTGCAATCTTTGGGGTGCAATCTATGCTGTGCACTCAATGTGGTGCAATCTACGTCGTGCAGTCTACTTTGACTGTCTTGATGTTGTCCTGTCCACTGCTCGTGCAGACATCCCACCCGTTCACCCGCAACTTGGTCGCAAGACCTCTTAAGACCGTGACGGTAGGTACCGACGCCGACGACGACAGCGACGACGACGACGCCGACGACGACTACGACGACACCGATGACCACTCCGAAGACTTCGACGACGACGACAACGGCGACGACGACGACGACGACGCCGCCGACGACGACGAAGACGACGACGACGACGACGGCGACGAAATAGGAGGGACGACGACGAGACGCCGACGACGGACGACGACGACGACGAGGGAGGAGGAAGGACGACCACGGCGACAACGACGACGGAAACGACAACGACGCCAAAGAGGGCGACGACGGCGACGACGAGGAAAAACAGACTGATCACGCCGACGACGATGACGGCGTCTTCGCGTCGATGATGAAGAAATTCGACATGCGCGCGCGGCAGGCGCGAGAGTGGTTCGCATGGTATTATTTGACACGGATCGTGCCACCCAAGCGCGCTCGCAATGGCGTGCGAATGATTTCGACATGCGCGCGCGAAGCCCGTTTGGTAGCATTTTCTGTATATGTTGAGCAACCGACGGTTTTATTTGGAATTCGCAAGAGCGCGCACGTTTTTTTCACAACCCGTATTGCGAGACCATGTGTTTTAATCTGTTTTCTTGAACTGTCGATTTCGGATTCGTTCCGGAATCGAATGTTTCTCAAATATTTTGGCATGCGCGCGACGACGCGCGCGTGTGCACTTCTTGCCGTTTTCTTGCAAGGGACTCTCGTGACGGCACGCGCGCAAAAGGCGTTCGAACGACATGCGCGCGCGAAGCCTGTTTGGTAGCATTTTATGAACATGCTGACAAACGTATGGTTTTCTGAAGAATTCGCAAGAGCGCGCGCGTACTTTGTTGGTTTGGAAAATATGCGTTGCGCAACCATGTTTTTTTATACGTGGTCTGGACACTCGGTTTGAAATCTTTCCGAAGCCAGAGGTTTTTGCAGGATCTCGGCATGCACGCGCGACAACGCGCGCGTGTGCACTTCGAATGATGCTTTGCATGGGATTATTGGGAACCTGTGACTTGTGTTAAACGAGCGTGGGCGCATGATTTTTGTTGCTCGGCATGGCGGGGGGGGCGATAACGCCCCCCCTGGGAAAGTGTAAACTCACATTCAGGATGGACGATGGGGCAGAATCACATGTAAATTGCAATACGAAAAAGGGGGGATTCTTAAATCCGGGGTGGGGGGCTTGGGGGGAGGGGGGGGTATAATTTGTTCTTATAGAAAGGAGACCCCACGCATGCACGCAATTTATGTTGTGCAAGCTACGTGGTGCAATCTATGTGGTGCGATTCGCCCTGCTGAACTTGCAGTTGTCATTTTCACTGCTCGCGCAATGATCCGACCCACCCACCCGCAACTTGGTTTTCAAAACTTATGCGGTGGCGATTGCGACGGGTGCCTTGCGTTGGCTGCTGCATCTCTGCGGCCGCGCTGGCCCGTGCGTGCTCGCGCGCGCAGCGGCCAGCTAGTTTGGCGCGACCGATGCGAACGCCGTATCACGGCGACGTCGACGACGGTAGATATCACGATGCTATTAGCGATGCTGGTGACGATGTTGACAACGACGACGGCGCGGGCAGTGACGGCGCCGATGCCGATCACGCCGGCGACGGTGACGGCGACCTCGCGTCAGTGATGAAGGTTTTGGAAGGAGTTCGACTTGCGCGTGCGTCCGCCGCGCGAGAGTGGCCCGCGTGGTATTATTTGACACGGATCGTGCCGCACAGCACGCGCGCAGGGGCGCGCAGATTATCTCGGCATGCGGCGCGCAAGGCCCGTTTGGCAGAATTCCCGGACAATGTTGAACTTCGCATGGTTTTCTCAAGAATTCGCAAAGTCGCGCGCGAAGGCGTTTCTGAAATCAAATGCTTCGAAACCGCAAGTTTCTTTTGCATGGTTTCGCTACGCTCGGTTTTGACGCCCTTTCGACACTTGTTTTTGAAAAGGATTTCGGCATTCGCGCGCGACGACGCGCGCACGTGCACTTCGTGTTTTGGTTGCAGAGGTTTCTCGCGACTGCGGGCGCGCAAGGGCATTCGACCGATTTCGACATGCGCGCGCGCGATGCCCGGTAGGCAACACTTGAGCAACCCATGGTTTTCCCGTGCATTCGCAAGAGCGCGCGCAAGCTTTCATTGTTTTGAAGACCCGCTTTGTGAAGCCCTGCTGTTTCTTTACATATTTTTCCCAACCCTCCTGCGTTGGGTATTCGTTTTGAATGGAGCACTGCGGTCGCGTCTTCCCTTCTCCTCCTTCCCGTCCCCCTCCTCTCCTCCCTTCTCCTCCTCCTCCTCTTTTCTCTTGCATCCCTGGGGGGCTGCGATCTGTGAAACTGTCGCCACTTTCGAGGGCTGCTGGGGGGTTCAGCGGAGTGACGTCTTACGGGGACTCAGATTAGACCTCGCCATCGCTGGGGGGGCTGCGATCTGTGAAACTGTCGCCACTTTCAAGGTCTGCTGGTGGGTCCAGCGGAGTGAGGCACCACGGGGACTCAGATTAGACCTCGCCATCCGTGGGGCGCTGCGATCTGTGAAACTGTCGCCACTTTCGAGGGCTGCTGGGGGGTCCAGCGGAGTGAGGCACCACGGGGATTCAGATTAGACCTCGCCATCCCTGGGGGGCTGGGGGGCTGCGATCTGTGAAAGTGTCGCCACTTTTGAGGGCTGCTGGTGGGTCCAGCGGAGTGAGGCACCACGGGGATTCAGATTAGACCTCGCCATCTCTTGGGGGGGGGGGCTGCGATCTCTGAAACTGTCGCCACTTTCGAGGGCTGCTGGTGGGTCCAGCGGAGTAAGGCACCACGGGGATTCATATTAGACCTCGCCATCTGTGGGGGGCTGCGATCTGTGAAACTGTCGCCACTTTCGAGGGCTGCTGGTGGGTCCAGCGGAGTGAGGCACCACGCGGACTCAGATTAGACCTCGCCATCCCTTGGGGGGCTGCGATCTCTGAAACTGTCGCCACTTTCGAGGGCTGCTGGTGGGTCCAGCGGAGTGAGGCACCACGGGGATTCAGATTCGACCTCGCCATCTGTGGGGGCTGCGATCTGTGAAACTGTCGCCACTTTCGAGGGCTGCTGGTGGGTCCAGCGGAGTGAGGCACCGCGGGGACTCAGATCAGACCTCGCCATCTCTGGGGGTGGCTGCGATCTGTGAATCTGCCACCACTTTCGAGGGCTGCTGGTGGGTCCAGCGGAGTGAGGCACCACGCGGACTCAGATTAGACCTCGCCATCCTTGGGGGGCTGCGATCCGTAAAACTGTCGCCACTTTCGGGGGCTGCTGGTGGGTCCAGCGGAGTGAGGCACCACGGGGATTCAGATTAGACCTCGCCATCTGTGGGGGCTGCGATCTGTGAAACTGTCGCCACTCTCGAGGAATGCTGGTGGGTCCAGCGGAGTGAGGCACCACGGGGACGGGGACTCCGATTAGACCTCGCCATCCCTGGGGGGGGGGGCTGCGATCTGCGAAACTGTCGCCACTTTCGAGGGCTGCTGGAGGGCCCAGCGGAGTGAGGCACCACAGGGACTCAGATTAGATCTCGCCATCCCTGGGGGGCTGCGATCTGCGATGTGAAGCCGTCGCCACTTTCGAGGGCTGCTGGGGGGCCCAGCGGAGTGAGGCACCACGCGGACTCAGATTAGACCTCGCCATCTCTGGGGGGCTGCGATCTGCGAAATTGTCGCCACTTCCGAGGGCTGCTGGGGTGACCAGCGGAGTGAGCCCCCACGGGGACTCAGATTAGACCTCGCCATCGCTGGGGGGGGGGAGGCTGCGATTTGCGAAATTGTCGCCAGTTTCGAGGGCTGCTGGGGGGGGGGGGGGGGCAGCGGAGTGGGGTACCCAGATTCGACTTCGCCATTCCTGGGGGACTGCGATTTGCGAAACCGTCGCCACTTTCGATGGCTGCTGGGGGGGCAGCGGAGTGGGTCCTACGCAGACTCAGGCTCGACTTCGCCACCCCCGAAGGGCTGCGATCTGCGAAACTGTCGCCACTTTCGAGGGCTGCTGGAGGGCCCATCGGATTGGGGACATATTCGGATTCAGATTAGACCTCGTCATCCTTGGGGGGCTGCGATCTGCGAAACTGTCACCACTTTCGAGGGCTGCTGGGTGGCCCAGCGGAGTGACGTCATACGCGAGCCTGGGGCTTTAATCCTCGTTCTTTCGATCGTCGTCCTGTGAGCCGTGCAATGCGTGCGCATCCCATGTAGTTTGCACAGCAATTCACCACATCGCCTACATTATCGTTGTTCCTGCTAATGTTGGCCTGCTCCTCTTGCCACTTGATGCACGTGGGTTGGGTGCGTCGCAGGGTAATCTTGGACAGTCGATCCTTACACCCTTGCGACTGTGTGTTTGAAAGGTTTCGGCATGCGCGCGTGACAACGCGCGCGCGTGCAGTCCGCAGTTGTTTGGTTCATTTTTGTTTTTTTCCAACCCTCCTTGGTTGGGCACTCGTTTTGAATAGAGCACTGCGGTCGCGTCTCCCCTCCTCCTTCCCGTCCCCCTCTTCTCCTCCCTTCTCCAGATCTGTGAACCTGTCGCCACTTTCGAGGGCCGCTGGGGGGCCCAGCACAGTGACGTCTTACGGGGACTCATATTAGACCTCGCCATCGCTGGGGGGCTGCAATCCGTAAAACTGCCGCCACTTTCGAGGGCTGCTGGGGGGGGGGCAGCGGAGTGACGTCTTACGGGGGTTCAGATTAGACCTCGCCATCCCTGGGGGGTTGCGATCTGTGAAACTGTCGCCACTTTCGAGGGCTGCTGGGGGGCCCAGCACAGTGACGTCTTACGGTGACTCAGATTAGACCTCGCCATCGCTGTGGGGCTGCGATCCGTAAAACTGTCGCCACTTTCGAGGGCTGCTGAGGGGCCCAGCACAGTGACGTCTTACGGGGACTCAGATTAGACCTCGCCATCCCTGGGGGGCTGCGATCCGTAAAACTGTCGCCACTTTCGAGGGCTGCTGAGTGGCCCAGCACAGTGACGTCTTACGGGGACTCAGAGTAGACCTCGCCATCCCTGGGGGGCTGCGATCTGTTAAACTGTCGCCACTTTCGAGGGCTGCTGAGGGGCCCAGCGCAGTGACGTCTTACGGGGGTTCCGATTAGACCTCGCCATCCCTGGGGGGCTTCGATCTGTGAAACTGTCGCCACTTTCGAGGGCTGCTGGGGTGTGGGGGGGGGAGCGGAGTGACGTTTTACGGGGACTCAGATTAGACCTCGCCTTCCTTGGGGGGCTGCGATCTGCGAAACAGTCGCCACTTTCGAGGCCTGCTGGGGGGCCCAGCACAGTCTGCACCCGCGGCGGATTCAAATGTGACCTCGCCATCCCTGGGGGGCTGTGATCTGCGAAACTGTCGCCACTTTCGAGGCCTGCTGGCGGGGCCCAGCACAGTCGGCACCCGCGGCGGATTCAAATTAGGCCTCGCCGTCCCTGGGGGGCTGTGATCTGTGAAACTGTCGCCACTTTCGAGGCCTGCCCAGCACAGTCTGCACCCGCGGCGGATTCAAATTAGACCTCGCCATCTCTGGGGGGCTGCGATCTGCGAAACTGTCGCCACTTTCGAGGGCTGTTGCTGCTGCTGGGGGGCCCAGCACAGTCTGCACCCGCGGCGGACTCAAATGTGACCTCGCCATACCTGTGGGGCTGCGATCTGCGAATCTGTCGCCACTTTCGAGGCCTGCTGGGGGGGGGGCAGCACAGTCTGCACCCGCGGCGGACTCAAATGTGACCTCGCCATCCGTGGGGTGCTGCGATCTGCGAAATTGTCGCCACTTTCGCGGCTTGCTGGGGGGCCCAGCACAGTCTGCACCCGCGGCGGACTCAAATGTGACCTCGCCATCCGTGGGGTGCTGCGATCTGCGAAATTGTCGCCACTTTCGAGGCCTGCTGGGGGGCCCAGCACAGTCTGCACCCGCGGCGGACTCACATGGGACCTCGCCATCCCCGGGGGGATGCGATCTGTGAAATTGTCGCCACTTTCGAGGGCTGCTGGGGGGGCCCAGCACAGTCTGCACCCGCGGCGGATTCAAATGGTACCTCGCCATCCCTGGGGGGCTGCGATCTGCGAAACTGTCGCCACTTTCGAGGGCTGTTGGGGGGCCCAGCACAGTGGGTACCCACGGCGGACTCAAATGGGACCTCGCCATCCCAGCACAGTCTGCACCCGCGGCGGACTCAAATGGGACCTCGCCATCCCTGGGGGGATGCGATCTGTGGAACTGTCGCCACTTTCGAGGCCTGCTGGGGGGCCCAGCACAGTCTACACCCACGGCGGATTCAAGTGAGACCTCGCCATCCCTGGGTGGCTGCGATCTGCGAAACTGTCGCCACTTTCGAGGCCTGCTGGAGGGCCCAGCACAGTGGGTACCCACGGCGGACTCAAATGTGACCTCGCCATCCGTGGGGCGCTGCGATCTGTGAAACTGTCGCCACGTTCGAGGCCTGCTGGGGGGCCCAGCACAGTGGGTACCCACGGCGGATTCAAGTTAGACCTCGCCATCCCTGGGGGGCTGCGATCTGTGAAACTGTCGCCACTTTCGCGGCTTGCTGGGGGGCCCAGCACAGTGATGCCACACGCCGATTCAAATTAAACCTCGCCGTCCATGGGGGGTTGCGATCTGCGAAATTGTCGCCACTTTCGAGGCCTGCTGGCGGGGCCCAGCACAGTGACGCCTCCCAAGTAGCTTACACATCAAGTTGATTGTCCATACAAGTTTCGGCCAACTCCTCGTTTCCATTGATACAAATGGGTTGGGTACGTCACAGGGTAATTTTATTTGTGCACGGTCTTCTTGCGAGCTGATGGGTCCTGATAGAAACGCGTGCGCGCATATTTTTTGGTTGCAGAGGATGACGGGGGGGGGGCGATATTGGCCTGGCTGGGATGGTACGAGTTCGTATTTACGATGACCGATGGAGCAGAGTCATGTGCAAATTGCAATACGAAAAGGGGGGCCGATCATCCCGGGGGGGGTCCTTTTTTAAAGCTGGAGTATCTCTGCCGCGTTATTATTCTGGTGGAATCTATGCGGTGCCAATTGGTTTTACCGACCGACTTGACGCATCCCATGCTCTTGCAATCATCCCATCCACCCACCCGCAACTTGGTTTGCAAAGTCCATGCGATGGCGATTGCGATGAATGCTTGGCGTTGGCTGGTGCATCTCTGCGGCCGCTCCGACCCAGGCACCCGCGCGCAGCGGCCAGCTAGTTTGGCGCGACTGACGCGAACGCGGCGGCGCTGACCGCTGGGCACATCCCAGCGGGCGTTTCAGTGCGAGTCGTCGATTTGGGCGGGCGCGGTAGCATGGCGACGTCGACGACGTTAGACACGATGGTGCTAGAACCGATGCTGGTGACGATGCTGGTTGCGCCGGCGGGGCAGCCAGTGACGGCGCCGACGTTGATCGCGCCGGCGACGACGTCGGCGTCTTCGCGTCGGCGATGCGGGCCGCATGGTATTATTTGACGCGGGTCGCGCCGCCCCAGCACGCGCGCAAGCGCGCTTGATTGATTTCGACGTGCTCGAAGCCCGTTTGGCAGTATTTTCTGAACAGGTTGGAACCTCGCAAGAGCGCGCGCGCGAGTATTTTCTGGTGGAAATCCGCGTTCCGAGATTTTTGTAAAAAAATAGTGCTCGATTTGAACATCCGGACGGAACTGGAGGGTTTTTGCGCAACGACGCGCGCGCGCGTGCATTTCGTCATCCCGTGGGCCTCAGTGGCGATGGACGTTGGCGGCGTGGTCTTCGTGTCCTCGTGTAGGGGGACGAAGAACGACATAAACATAAGAACTATGATGTCCGCGCGGATTTCTCGGATCGGCGCCGGAGGCGCCGCCAGGGTGGTCCAGCGTTGATCCGAGAAATCCGCGCGGACCTCCGAATTTTCATGTTTATGTCGCTCTTCGTTCCCGCTATCGTGGTTTTCGCCGTCCTCGTGCCTCGGGCTGCTGGGCGAGCCGAACCAAAACACACCGGCCCGTGCCGTTGACTTTGAGCCCGCCTCCCGGCCGCCCGTGCTCTTCGGCACCTCTCTCGGGGGTCCCCCGAACGGGGCGGCGACCACACCGTGCGGTGAGTCGGTGGGGCGTCGGGGCCACCGCACGGTCTTGGGACTCGGGCCGTTCTCCGAGGACGTCTCGGGCGACCGGGGCTTCCGAGGTCCCAAGACCGTTCGGTGACGGACCGTGCGGTGAGGTCTTGGGGGATTCCGAGGTCACCGCACGGCCTGTCACCGCACAAGAAGGGGGCCTCAAGAGGCAGCGGCGGCGGCGGCGGCGGCGGCGAGGCAAGGCCCCAAGAGGGACACCAACAAATGCACACACATTCCAGAGCGTCCAATCTGTTTCAAAATTTCCTGGGTGTGCCTTGTCAACTCCATTCTCCACAGTTTCACACATCTTCGTCGAACATGTGACTGGTTATAGGTGTGTCGCCGCTTCGGGACTCCGAAGATCCCCGTGCGCAGGTGATCTTCGACACCAGCTCGTCGGACCTCCTCCTCCACCCTCCTCCTCCTCCTCCTCCTCCTCCTCCACCACCACCACCACCACCTTCCTCCTCATCCTCCTCCTCGTCCTCCTCGTCCTCCTCCTCCTCCTCCTCCTCCTCCTCCTCCTCCTCGTGCGCAGGTGATCTTCGACACCGGCTCGTCGGACCTCTGGCTGTTCAGCACTGTGTTCGATCCCGCGGCGTCGTCCACAGCGAGGCGAGGTTCGGGGGACGTCTCCATCGTGCCGCGGCTGGCCGGCCGACCCCGCGAGGGCCCCGGGAGAGGGGGGAGGAGGAGGAGGAGGAGGAGGAGGAGGAGGAGGAGGAGGAGGAGGAGGAGGAGGAGGAGGAGGAGGAGGAGGAGGAGGAGGAGGAGGAGGGAGGAGGAGGAGGAGGAGGAGGAGGAGGAAGAGGAGGAGGACGAAGAGGAGGATGAGGGGTGGAGGACCAGGAGTCTGACCAGGAGGAGGAAGAGACAGAAGGAGCTACGTAGGAGGAGGGGACCAGAGGGAGAGGATTCGAACGCTTCTCATCCTTCCGGGCCTCCTGGGGGTCCCCCGCCGCCACGAGTGGGTTCGTTTCGACATCCTGGTCAGACGGGGCCCCAGGAGAGGCCGAGCAGAAGAGGAGGAGGAGGACGATGAGGAGGACGATTAGGAGGAGGAGGAGGAGGAGGAGGAGGAGGAGGAGGAGGAGGAGGAGGAGGAGTCAGGAGGAGGGAGAAAAGAAGTGACCAGGATCAGGATCTCATTAGTAGGGAGCAGCAGAGGAGGGAGGGGAGGAAGAGGAGGGAGGAGGAGGAGGGAGGAGGAGGAGGGAGGAGGAGGAGGGAGGAGAAGGAGGAGGAGGAGGAGGAAGAGGTGGTCGAGGAGGAGGAGGAGGAGGAGGAGGAGGAGGGAATAGGACGAGGAGGACGAGGAGGAGGAGGAGGAGGGGGAGGAGGAGGAGAGGGTGGAGGAGGAGGAGGAGGAGGCGGAGGACCAGGAGACTAACCAGGAGAGAGAGATAGGAGGAGCTAGGACCCAGCTAGGATGAGGGAACTGGGGGGAGCAGGATTCGCACGTATTTCACCTTTCCGGGCCTCTTGGAGATCCCCGCCGCCACGAGTGGGTTTGCCTTGACATCCAGGCCAAAGGGGGCCCCGGAAGAGGCTGAGCAGAAAAGGAGGAGGAGGAGGAGGAGAAGGAGGAGGAGGAGGAGGACGACTAGGACGAGGAGGAGGAGGAGAAGGAGGAGGAGTTGGACAGTCTACTGTGCCAACTCATGGGGTGCAGTGAGCTGGGTGGACGGCTGTACCCCTCTTACCAGAGCCCCTGGGGCGCGTATTCAGAGGGAGAGGAGGAGACCTAAGGAGTTGGATGGATGGGGGTCGGATCCGAACGAGTTAAAGGACGGAGGAGTCATGGAGGATGAGCAGCGGAGTACGGATGAGGGAGGAAATGCGAGATGAGGATGGTGTGGAGAGGAGGAGCAGGAAGAGGAACGACAAGAACAAGTATGAGGCGCATCATATCACAATAATGCGGATGATGAGTTAATCAAGGATATCTCGGTATGGAGCGGACATGTGGATGATGGTGATGGTGATGATGATGGTGATGATGATGATGATGATGATGATGCTGATGATGATGATGATGATGATGATGATGATGTTGATGCTGATGCTGATGCTGATGCTGATGGCGATGGTGATGATGATGTTGATGATGATGATGATGATGGCGATGCTGATGGCGATGATGATTGTGATGCCGATGGTGATGATGATGCTGATCTGATGATGATGATGATGATAGTGATGCTGATGCTGATGATGGTGATGCTTAACAGTTTCGTGAGTGTGATTGTGATCACGATGGTGATGAGGGCGAGGACGAGGATGAGGATGAGATCACTGATGATGGCGATCATGATGATGCTGATGATAACGACGATTATTGTGGTGGTGGTGCTGATGTTAATGCAGATGATACTGATGACGATTATAGTGATGATGCAGATGATGATTATGAGGATGCTGAGTATGATGATGGCGATGCTGATTCTGTCGATGATGCTGCTGCTTACAAGGATGATGATGACGATACTGATCATGATACTGAGTATGCTGCTGCTGCTGATGATGATGATGATGATGATGACGGTGATGCTTGTGGTGGTGACGGTGATGATGGCGACGATGCTGATGATGATGTTGGTGATGGTGATGTTGGTGGTGCTGATGTTGATGCAGATGCGTATGTTGATGGTGGTGGTGATGATGATGGTGATGATGATGGCGGTGGTGGTGGTGATGGTGATGATACTGATGGTGGTGGTGATGATGATGAGGATGCTGGGGATGATGCTGATGATGCCAGTGATGATGCTGATGATGATGGTGTTGCGGATTATGCTAATGTTGATGATGTTGTCGGTGATCAGGATGATGATGATGTTGCTGTTGGTGATATTTATGAGGTTGGTAATGATGATGCTGAGGATGCTCATCATGCTGATGACGCTGATGCTGATAATGGTGATGATGAGGATGAGGATGCGGATGATGATGCTGATGTTGATGATGATACTGACACTGATGACGATGACGGTGACGATGACGATGATGATGATGATGATGATGATGGTGACGATGATGATGATTATGATGATGATGATGATGATGATGATGATGAGGATGAGGATGAGGATGAGGATGATGATGATGATGATGATGATGATGATGATGATGATGATGATGGTGATTGTGATGATGATGATGATGATGGCGATGGTGATGGTGGTGGTGATGGTGATGAGGAGGAGGAGGAAGAGGAGGAATATGGGGGAGAGGAGGAGAAGGCGGAGGGAGGTGGCAGAGGAGGAGGCGGAGGAGAAGGAGGAGGTGAAGGAGTTTGATACGGAGGAGTGCAATAAGGAGGGACGAGGGGGAGGATGACGAGGAGAAAGGGGAGGACAAGGAGGGCGAGGATGAGGAGAAGGTCTAGTGCAAAGGTAGGAGTGGAAGTGGGAAGCGGAGGAGGAGCTGGAGGAGGAGGGGGAGAAGGAGGAGGAGGAGGAGGAGGAGGAGGAGGAGGAGGAGGAGAGGAGGAGGAGGAGAGAAGGGCCTCGTGGGACCCGCGAGCGGACCTCCTGCCAGGCCAGGACGAGATGGAGTCGGGCACTGGCCTGTTCTTGCCTCCTCTGGCTTGGTCCTTGTAAGGGTCGGGTCGAATGGAAAGAGTGGGAGAGGGGGGGTGCGAGCTCTGCGGCGTGCAGCCGGATTCGGACCCGCCGCCGGGAGGCGCTGGAGAAACCAGCTGCGCGCAGTTGATTTTCTACCCCCCGCGCATGGAGGAGGAGGAGGAGGCGGAGGAGAAGGAGGAGGAGGAGGAGGAGGAGGAGGGAGTAGGAGGGGAGGAGGAGGAGGAGGAGGAGGAGGAGGAGGGGAGGAGGGAGGAGGGTGGAGGAGGAGGAGGAGGAGGAGGAGGAGGAGGAGGAGGAGGAGGAGGAGGAGGAGGGAGGAGGAGGAGGAGGAGGAGGAGGAGGAGGAGGAGGAGGGATGGAGGAGGAGGAGGAGGGAGGAGGAGGAGGATCCCCCGCCCCCTCGGGCGCCCCAGGAGGCGGGGGCCACGCTCGGGGGACGGGCGCAGGAGGGGGAGGCGTCGACCCCGAGCCGCCCGTGCATCGCCGACAGGGGCGCCCGATAGGCTGAAGTCGGGCACGTCCTCCTCCTCCTCCTCCTCCTCCTCCTCCTCCTCCGCCTCCTCCTCCTCCTCCTCCTCGCCGACAGGGGCGCCCGATAGGCTGAAGTCGGGCACGCCCCTCTGCAGGAGGAGAACTCGAAAACAGCGAAGCAATCATCGGGGCGGGCTTTTAGTTTCCAGTATATTGTGTTTTGGACTGTGTCTTGTTCTTTCTCCCAACACGTCCGCCTCCGGGAGGGCCTGCCCGGCCCAACGATGGGCCCACCCCGCCCGGGAGCGTGTGGAGAGCTGCTGCCGGGGGCCCCTCGCCGATCCACATCGGCGATGCCTGGCCGCTTCCAGCACGGTCATCCCCCCTGAACCGGTCCCCCTCGAAAAAGTGGCGACAGTTTCGCAGATCGCAGCCCCCCAGGGATGGCGAGGTCTAATTTGAATCTGCGGCGAGTGCCCACTATGCTGGCCCCAGCAGCTTTGGAACGTGGCGACAGTTTCACAGATCGCACCCCTCAGGGATGGCGAGGTCTAACCTGAGTCTGCGGCGAGTGCCCACTCTGCTGGCCCCCCAGCAGCTTTCTAGAAAGTGGCGACATTTCCGCCGATCGCAGAGCAAGTCGGGCCTGTCCCTCTTACAGGGGGGATATTCCAACATAGTAAAAAAGTATTCGGGGGACGATGTGTGTTGCCCAGGTTTTCAAGTTTCGTGTATACTGTTTGACTGTGTGTTTCATTGTTCGCCCAAAGTCCCCCTGTAGGGGGACAGGCTCGACCCAACCCTAACGTGACCCCTCGACAGCCAGCCAGCCACCTGCGGGGAACCATCATCGCCAGCATCATCATCCTCATCCTCCCCCCCTCCGCTTCCTCCTCCTCCTCCTTTCCTTCTCCTCCTCCTCCTCCTTGTTGTTCCTTCTCCCCCCCGGTCTCTCTCATCATCATCATCATCATCATCATCATCATCATCATCATCATCATCATCATCATCATCATCATCATCATCATCATCATCATCATCATCATCATCATCATCATCATCATCAGCATCAGCATCATCATCATCATCATCATCATCATCATCATCATCATCATCATCATCATCATTATCAGCATCACCATCTTCGTCATCATCATCATCATCATCATTATCATTATCATTATCATTTTCATCATCATTATCATCATCATCACCATCATCATACACTCAAGAGTAGGCACAAAGTAGTCTGGGGACGATTTCTTGACCACTTCTGAGCATGTGTGGTGAACATTTCTGGGGTCGTTTTGGCGTTTCGTCCAACATCCGCCTGTAGGGGGACATGCCCGTCCTAACCTCAGAGAGGGGACGGGGAGGATGAGACGAGAGGCCTGCTCGGCTATCGCCGGCCCCCTCCCCCGGCTCTTGCAGTATAGGTCGGCCGGCCAACCGCCGCTCTGTCACGTACGGGCAGGGCTCAGTCCGTGGCGGGGTGACGCTAGACCCGGAGGGCTCCGGGGGTCCAGCGTGCCCTCCGATCCGACTGCTGCTTCTCCTTCGCAGCGGGCGATTTCGCCCAGATGCGGGCCCTGGGGTCCCGGCAGATCGATCCGGGCTCGAGAATGATGCCACAGAAAGATGGGGCGGGCCCAGGGATCGGCTGGTCGCGCCCTGTTTTCCACCACCACCAGAAGTTGGAGGGGGAAGGAGGAGGAGGAGGACGAGGAGGAGGAGGAAGACGGAGAGGAGGAGGAGGAGGGGGAGGAGGAGGAGGAGGAGCAGGAGGAGGAGGAGGAGGAGGAGGAGGAACCCCTCCCACTTCTGGTGGTGGTGGTGGAAAACGAGCCCATCAGCGCTTGTTCGCGATGTTGGATGTTTTGTGCTGCGGCGTCGGATCTCAGGGTGGGCGGGGGGGCAAAGGCCGCGGGCGCCCCGGCCCACGAGAGCAGAGGGCGGCCGGCGTTCCCGGGACATCTCCGGCGCAGAACCCCCAACAGTGACACGTCGATTAGTGAATTGTCCGTTTTCGGTTCTCGAGAGGGCGCCGTGGCCGTTATTTTCCAGGCTTGCGCCCGCCAGGTTTGGGCCTCAGGTCGTTTTCACTAAACCACGTTTTACTAAAGGGGGGTCTGTCCATCCCCGATGCATGCGCCAGCGACTCTCCACGAGCTGGGCCTGGGGAGGTCCGTGTCGGGCACCGCGGTCGTCGAGTATGGACTCCGGAGGAGAACAAAAGCTGGTTCTGGGGAACCTGTGTCGGGGTTGGACAGACCTCCTACCCTGACACGTCGATTAAGGAATTGGCCGTTTTCGGCTCTCGAGAGGGCGTCGCGGCCGTCATTTTTGCGGGTCCAGGTCCGTCGGTTTCGGTCCCAGGCCGTTTTCACTAAGGGGAGGTCTACTAAAGGGAGGTTTGTCCACCGCCGACTGTGCGAAAAGTTGGAGGGCACGCGACTCAGGAATGTCTGGTCGTTGGGGGTTGAGGTCCGGGCGCCCCGGGGAGAGTAGGACGGCCGGCGCTTCTGAGCGTAGGTAATGCCGAAGCGCGCTCACGGCCTGGAGGCCCATAACAGGAACGCCCACGGCGCTAGCTCTTCCACCTCCTCCTCCCCGTTGGGGCACCCCTGAATCCCTCTATGACCCCCGGCACCATCTTGGAACTTGTAGGCGCACAGGCGAGAGGAATGTTGGTTTCGTCTTATCCTGGATTCTCGCGAAAGTTGTGTTTCCGCTTTGGCGCGGCGCAAGTTTTGCCTTCGTCACTTGGTTTGAAGCGGTACCGAGCGCGTGCGTGGCAACTTCAACTTAATTGGGCGGGGCCCGTTGTCTCGATACACAGCCACTCGTCAACGCACTCCTCTTCCTCCTCCTGTGCCTCCATTCCCTCCCCCTCATCAACTCCAGACACACCCCAAAATCGACAGAGACATCCGAAAGCACAAGAAGGCCTCCATGGTTTCCAAAGGCCCCACCAAACCCCCTCTTCCCCCTTGCTACTGGGGACGTGTGCGAAGTTTTGGGTTCCCCAGGCATCTCCCGTAACCCTTTAGAGCCTGCTTCAAGCTGCTGAAGCCTTCTGCACCTCTCCCTCCTCCCAGTGCCCAGGCATTTTCTGCGGCGCCATCCTGTTTTTTTTCAGAGCCGCCTCCAGCTGTGATGACGTTGCCCCACTCCCCCCCGAGCGCACAACATAATATTATGATGATGCTGCTGATGATAATGCTGATGCTGATGCTGATGCGGATGCTGCTGATGATGATGTTCATGATATGATTGATCATGATTGTGACAATGACGATGATGGTTCTGGTAATGCGAAGGGAGAGGATGCTGAGGATGGAACAGCTTCTGCTGCTGCTGATGATGACGATGATGAGGGCGATGGTGCTGATTCTGACGGAGATGGTGTTGATGATGGTTATGATGGGGAGAAGTGTGTTTGTTGGGGACCGACCGAGCCGAGGTTCGCAACGAACGCTGTGGGCAGCACCTACGGACGAAGCGTGCCCTGACTGTTCATCGGAGCGTTGGCGCTGGCACTGAGCGACATCTACGGTCAGAGACTTTGGCTTAGCACGTCTCGCCGTTGGCTCTGGCCCACCACGTTTCGGCACGACACGCGACACAGGACAATATTCAAAAATAGTAACAAATAGTCTTGGGACTATTTCTTGAGTATTGTTTGACCATTTGGGAATATGTTTTGAGTATTTTGATTTTTCGTCGACAATCCCCCCTGTACACGCCCGACTGAACACTATCCACACCCCCGTTGCCCGGCGTCGACGTCCCGAGCCTCTGAGGAGCTTCCCGCCCCGCGGAGCGGAGCGACGCGCTGTCAGCTCGCAGGGCAGCGAGAGTGTCGCGGGGGGCCGCCGCCGCGACGCGCCGAGCAAAAGTTCCCGACCGTATAGTCAAGACGCCGAAGTGAGGGACAGGTGAGGCTCGCAAGGGGCTCGATGTTCCTTGGGTTCCTCCGGTGCTGTTCCTCTTGCCCTCCTGGGGCACGGAGGCGCTTACATTGGGCGCCCGAGTTATCCGGGGTAACTCGGGTCCGGGGTAACGCGGGCTTGGATTCCCGAAAAACGAACCCGAGTTAGCCCTGACCCGAGTTACCCCTGATGATTTTGGGCTCTGGACGCCCGAATTATCCAGGGTAACTCGTGCCCGGGGTAACTCGGGTTCGGAATCCCGAAAAGCGAACCCGAGTTAGCCCTGACCCGAGTTACCCCTGATGATTCGGGGCTTTGATTACAGGGCCAAGAAGGGGCTTCGTTCCTGATTTAGTGCTCCTTCTTTCAGCGGCCCGCCTGCAGATCCCGCCCCAAGACGAAGCGGGGGAGGACGAGAACCCCGTGTGCCTCTCCCCCCCCCCCGCGTACAGTGGAAGCCCATGCCAAGAAGCACCCTGCTCGCCTCCAGGGGGCCCTGTGTTTCCTGGCTTCCGATGGCTCTGCTGTGGAAAGCGCGACGCTCCAACACCAAGAAATCAAGGGACCTCCTGGGGTCTCAGGGCTGGGTGTCTTGTGGAAGGCTTCTCGTGGTCGGGCCTCCACTGTATCCATGGAGCCCTCCGGCCGGACGACGTCGCGCTGGAGGGTATGGCCGCCGTCGCGGGCCAGCCCGTCATCACGCTGGACCAGTCGTCCGGGATGCAGCACATCGTGTCAGGCCCGCCGCGGAGGAGGTTCGGATGCAGTGCTATCTCGCTCCAGGCCCAGACGTGATCGGGTCGCAAAAAGTCAGGACGGGATGTTTTTGGCCAATTTCGGCCTCGGGGGGGGGGCCCTCTAAAACAGGGCTAGGATCGGGATAAATCGCTCCAGAGCGTTCCGGTGCGCTCTCAGAGCGTTCCGGAACGCTCTGGAGCGGCCGCGGCGCCCAAGACATCCCCCAAACCCGCCGATTCTCAGAGATCTCGAGATACCCCGATCCGATTTTGTCCCGACCTTCGCGTCGTTTTGGCCCGCGCCAGGCCTCGGGACCGTCAGAAAACGACTCGGGTCGAAGTCTGGCCCCGGAGGAAGGGCCGGGGCCTCCATGGGGCCCCGCCTGGAGCAAAAGGTCCGGACGTCGCACGTCTGGGGGAAGGGCCTCGCCTGTGCGGGGTCGAAGGAGCTGGCACCCGGCTCCTCGGGGGAGGTGGCGCAGGGCCGGCGGGAGGCGGCGGGAGCAGGACGGGGATTATGATACTCCAACCTACTTTAGCCTTGATCACCAGAAAGAATCTCGAGCGCCCCCCCCCAACAAAAAAAACGAAGCTCAAGGGTTTTCACGTGTCGGGCCCTGGGAGACATTGTTTCGACACTGTCTCGACACTCCTTTGACACTTTTCCGGGTGCTCGAAATTATTTCTCTAGGATGCGGTCCTTAAGTAGGATGGGGACAACATAAGACGAGGACCGCTCCGCCGTGGGAAGGCCGGCGGAGGCCGGCGGCAGCGGCAGGAGGCTTCAAGAAGAAGAGAAGAGTTCTCAGCTGAAGTCGGGTGTGTCCCTCGACAGGAGGAATACCCAAAAATAGTCAACATTAGTCTGGGGACGATTTCTTTACTATTTCTGGCTATTTTGGGGCTCTTCTCTTGCATAAAATAGTCAACAACAGTCCGGGGACGATTTCTTTACTATTTCTGGCTATCTTTGGGCACTTCTCTTGTATTTTTTCATTTTCCGCCCCAAACCCCGCTTGTAGGGGGACACGCCCGACCTGAACCCTAGCCCTTAGAACACGAGGAAGGCCTTAGAACACGAGGAAGGCGTGGCCTCACGTCGAGTGGAGATCCATGCCAAGAAACACCCTGCTTGCCTCCAGGGTGCCCTGGGTTTCTTGGGCTTCCATGGCTTTTTGGTGGAAAGCGCAACGCTCCCAGACCAACAAATCAATGGACGTCCTGGGGTCTCAGGGTTGGGCGTCTTGTGGAAGGTTTCTTGTGGTCGGGCCCCTGCTGTAGGTACCCGTCTCTGCATGAGTGATAGTAGAGTTTGGCGGTTTGATCTGATACATCTGCAGAAAAGACCCCTATCCCTAATTGTCTTGGCCCTCCTTACTTAGGTCCCCTCCCAAAGGATGAGGGGTACTTGTCTTGCTTATCATGGAGTGTGTCCCAAGGGATGATATATTTTTGGGGTGCAGGGTTTCTGGAGCCCGCCAGCTGGCGCGGTGGTTGAGACCAACTCAGTCGTCTCGGAGTGGCCCCCCTTTGTACCGACACCAAGAATTAATCGACATTACCCCACCTGCGACCCACTGGGTCATAGGTGGGTCGGAGTTGGGATGGTGTCGTAGGTGTGTCGTAGGTGGTCGTAGTTTGACAAATGCTCAAACTTTCAACATCGCTGGGTCGTAGGTGGGGTGGTGTGGTCCGGTATCCGGTCCACTGTGTTCGTCGGGTTTCTGTGCTCCACCTTGGGAGTGCTCCTCGTTTTGAACATCCCCAGTGCGCCTCCGGCCCTTCGGTGTGGACGGGGTTCGGGTGCTTGACCTGCGTTCTGTTTGCTGTGTCTCGGCTTCCTGTTCGAGCCGTGGTGGCGTCCGCCTGCCAGCTCTTTTGGCCCCCCTGGGAGTTGTTTCTTTCCCGCGGTCCGACGCCTTGACCTCGCTGTGCACTGCGCATCCCAGTTGTAACCTGCTGCGTCTCCCGAAGAGCTCGATGCTCGGAGGGCCCTCCCGCTGCGCGCGTTCTCTCTCCCTCCTCTCTCTCTCTCTCTCCTCCCTCCGCTTCCGTCCCTTCGGTCTGAACTCTCTTCTTTCCGCGCTGTATATCGCTTGTTTTTCGCTGTGCCCCACCGTCGCCTCGCCGCCGCGTGGGCCCAGGTGGCCGCCGACAAAAAAATGTTGCCTGGCTTGCCCTGTGTGCTTCCGGCAGCTCCTCCGCTTCGGAGTGGCCCCGCCTCTGCCCCCCTCCGCGGCCGCCTCGTCCCTCTCCTGCACGCCGGCCACTTCGCTTGTCGGTGCCCCCGTTTAGCTCTGCCGCTGTTGCAGCCATTCTGCCTCGCCCCGCCGGCGGCAAAGTGCCTTCCTGGCATCCGCGGGCGCGCTTCGGCACCCTGGGCCGCGAACAAGGCGGGTCCGGGGGGAGGGGTCCAGGGGAGGGGGGGGGGTCCAGGGGAAGGGGGTCCTGGGAAGGGGGGCCCAGAGGAGGGGTCCAGGGACCGACTGGAGGGGAGGGCCCATTACCAGTTTGAAGCATGTCCCGATCCCTATGTTTGACATCCCCTCACCTCGGTGCCGATCTTGAGGGTTCCCTCCGTTTCTGAGGGCCTGTCCCCAAGATTGTCCTCGCTCTTCGCTCGCCCCTCTCAGGGATAGGGATTAAGTTCGAGGCTGCTTATTAGCCCAGGGGGAGGCGTCCCCAGGGACCGCTTGGGGCCGAGCCCTGGCCGGGAGAGGGGGGGCGGGGCGGGGCGGCGCGCGGGGGATGGGGGGGGGGGAGCGCGCGCCCGGGTCGATCGACAGGGCGTGTGTTTTCCCCACGGCCCGGGGCTTCGTGCGCGGCCTCCTCTCCGTGCCCCTCTCGGGGGGGCGCGAGGAAAAAAAAAAAAGCGGTGGGCCACCGTCAGGAGGGGAAAAGAACGCACAGACACCACGAAATCGTCGATTCCCCAAGAAGAGCTGGGAGAGGATGGGGAGTGGGGGGGGACGAAAAGCCGGCAGATCTCGGAAAAGATGGGGTCGGGAGCCTTGAGACGGGGGTCAATGCAAACGGGGGTCAGCCAGGGCACCAGATCCTGCAGGATCCTGCGAAGACCCCCTCTGGCTGACCCGGGTTAGCGAGCCGCTCGTGGCCGCGAGGCGGCCGCGCGTATTGGTTGACCCGGGTTTGCGAAGATCTGCGTTGCAGTTGTTTTTTTTTTGCATTGCAGTTTTTGGTTTCCTGCTGACACGGGTCTGGATTGACCCGGGTCAGAAGATCCCCGATGGGGGAGTTTTTGGGATGTGTATGTCTTTATTTGTGTGTCCCTGGGCCCCTGGGGAAAGGCGTCGAGAGTTTTCAGCTGAGGGAGTCAGCAGGAATCCTTAAACATGGCTCCAGTATGTGATTGTTTTTTATTTGTTGTTTTGCCGATCGGCGCGGGCCCCAAACAAATAATCCTCCCCCCCTCCCCCTCCCCATGGAGTAGATCTTGGCTATTTTTGGCGCCTGTTTCGAGCGGGTGAAGTCCCTCCCCCTTAGGACGCACTGCTGCAAACAGTCGCACTAAGCAGAGGTCCAGAGCCAAGCACGCCGCTCCCCCCCCTTTCCGCCCAATGTCGAACGCTCACTATGTGATTGGGACGTTTCAGGAGCATGTGGCACCTGAGGGCTTCAAATGCAGGGGGGGCTGTCGAGTGGGCAACGAATGAGAACCAGTTCGTCCTCACCGGCGTTGGCGCGTAAGTTGCCCGCGTCAGGTCGCGCGTCGGCGCCTTCGTCTCCAGTCTCCAATGTGGCGTGCCGCGCTGCCAGCACGCGTAAGCCACCGCGTGTAGGGTCGTCATGCCATTCGTCGTGCGGAAGGCCCGTTTCTGACCGTCGTTGGGGTGGACTGCTGTGGTGCAGTGTTTTGAGCTCGGCCTGTCACCGATTACACTCGCGGAGGAGGAGGATGAGGAGGAGGAGGAGGAGGAGGAGGAAGAGGAGGGAGGAGGAGGAGGAGGAGGAGGAGGAGGAGGGAGGAGGAGGAGGGAGGAGGAGGGGGAGGAGGAGAAGAGGAGGAGGAGCACTGACAAAACTGGCAGGTCTGCTTGGGTTGCACCCCAACTTGCAGCTTGTAAGTAGAGGTTGCTGGCGAGGGCTCGCACTGGCTAGTAGCCCCCACAAGGACGAATTAGCTGCCCAGGTTAGGGCCAGCACGCGGGGAGGGATGCCAATGCATGCCATCGCACGACATTGCATGCCAACGCATGTCAATGCATGCCCATGCACGCTGATGCATGCCAATGCATGCCAACGCATGCCAACGCATGCCAATGCATGCCAACGTATGCCAACGCATGCCAACGCATGCCAATGCATGCCAGTGCATGCCAACGCATGCCAACGCATGCCAGCGCATGCCAACGCATGCCAACGCATGCCAATGCATGCCAACGCATGCCAACGCATGCCAATTCATGCCAACGCATGCCAATGCATGCCAACGCATGCCAATGCATGCCACTGCATGCCAATGCATGCCAATGCATGCAAACGCATGCCAGTGCACACCAATGCATGCCAATGCATGCCAATGCATGCCAATGCATGCCAATGCATGCCGACGCATGCCAAGACATGCCAACGCACACCAACGCATGCCAATGCATGCCAACGCATGCCATGACACGCCAATGCATGCCAGTGCATGCCAACGCATGCCAGTGCATGCCAACGCATGCCAACGCATGCCAGCGCATGCCAACGCATGCCAACGCATGCCAATGCATGCCAACGCATGCCAACGCATGCCAATGCATGCCACTGCATGCCAACGCATGCCAATGCATGCCAACGCATGCCAATGCATGCCAACGCATGCCAACGCATGCGAATGTATGCCAGTGCATGCCAATGCATGCCAACGCATGCTTCTGCATGCCAAAACATGCCAATGCATGCCAACGCATGCCAACGCACGCCAATGCATGCCAATGCATGCCAACGCATGCCAACGTATGCCAACGCATGCCAGCGCATGCCAACGCATGCCAGT